TAGCAACTTGATCTTCGGTCATAGTAAAGATTAGTCTTTCATCATTCACTCTATCAAAAGCTCTACTGAAAGTAGTAAAACTAGCAGGAACATAACAAATATAACCTTCTCTAGTTTGATCTAATCTTCCTTCTATATGGCGAACTATAACATTACCAAATAGATATAGATGTAAAAACACAGGCAAATACTTCAACATCAAGTCTACAACAATATTCAGGAATTCCAAAATACCTTTAAGAACTTGATTTTATGCTTTGTATAAACTTGCTATTAGTAAGAAAGGCATTTCTTCTTATCAGTTAGCTAAGGATGTTGGTATTACTCAGAAAAGTGCTTGGTTTGTATTACAAAGATTACGATATACTTTCAAAAGTCCTATTTTTGAAACTATGCTGGATGGATTAATTGAAATTGATGAAACTTTCGTTGGTGGCAAGAACAAAAATAGACACTGAAACAAAAAAGTTCCTAATTCCCAAGGTCGGAACTGAAAAGATAAGGTTCCTGTGCTAGGAATAATAGAAAGAAACGGAAACCTAATTACCCAAGTAATTCCTAACACTCAACAGCAGACTATTGAGCCAATAATCAAGGCAAAAGTTAAAAAGGGTTCGGATGTCTACACGGATGAGTGATTTGCTTATCAAGATTTATACAAATGCTTTAACCACCAAATAGTTAACCACCGAATTAAGCAATATGTCAATGGCAAGGTTTCTGTTAATTCTACTGAAAGTGCTTGGGCTTGCTTAAAAAGAAGCATTTATGGTATCTATCATCAAGTAAGCAAAGAACATTTATCTAAATATGTCGATGAGTTTACTTTTAGATTTAATACTCGAAAACATAAAGTCCAAGAGATAATTGAGTTAGTGCTTTTATCAGCAGTAGGAAAAAGTTTGAGTTATAGAGAGTTAATTTCTTCCTAACTTTTTCTCTTTTTTTAACTCTTTATTTTCCTCCTTTAACTTTTGGAGTTCTTTTTTTAACTCGTTGATTTCTAAATCTTTACGAGCAATTATTTCCTCTTTAAGAGATATTTCTTGTTTGTATAACATTTCTTCTAAAATTTCTATTTTTTTATTTGATTTCTTTTTGTCAATTCTATACTTGACATAAAAGATTAATAAAGGAACCAAACTAACCAAAACACTGACTATTCAGCCAATAATATCTTTGCTAGTAATTGAACCATTTTCCACCTTTTACTCTTTCTTATTTTTATTTCTTTGACTTCTCTTTTTTCATCTCTTCTAAACAATACTTACAAACTTTACCATCTTTCATTTCACCTCCTAAATATTCTTCTTTGTAAACAATTTCACATTTGCTACAAGAAAACTTTTCTTCTTTTTTATCTTCTTTACTGTATTTGTCTTCTAACTTATCCTTATCCTTTTTACTCTTAAAATATTCCTCGGCTTGGGCATCCTCAAAACTAATTCTCTTTCGACAACTGAAACACTGCTTTCTACTATCAAATAAATTCCAGTTTCAGAAACTACTCCCACAACGAATACAACTTCCTCCTCATCATTTCCTAACCAGCAAAAGTAAGTATATTAATGGTAGACCAATAACAATGCCTAATATTACTCCTATCATCTTACTTCTTACCTTTGCTTACTTTGTGGAAGTAATTTCCACTAACTGTTTTTTTTTTTTTTTTGCTGAATTTGGCTATCAACCAATCCTATTTCTATATTTCTTACCATATAATTATATTTTAAAACCAATCAGGTGGAACTATATAAGTAGACTAGTTTTTTTAGACTATATACTTGGTTCTAAAATACTATGCTACTTATCTTTGTTCCATAAAATTATATAATAAGTATGACAAGAAAATTAATTCATTGCCCAAAATGTGGTAAAGGTTCTTTTATCAATCTAAACGAGAGGGAGGAGAAAAAAAATCAGCAAAAAAGGGTTTGACAAAATTTTAAAGGCTGTGGCTAGTGTGCCTCCACCTAAAAATTGAAAAGAAGAGAGGGGGAAAAATTAACTTGGTGTAAAATTATATATTATTCCCGTCAAGTTTATTAATTATCTCTTCAAGAGTTTTGGTATCCTCAATTTTACTAACTGAAAATAATTCTCCTTCTTGATACTTTTGACGAAAATGTTCTAAAGCCTTGTCGACACGCATTTTTAAATTGTCACCTTTTTCAGATGCTCAAGAGTTTCACAAATGCTTCTTTTCAACAGCAGATTTTTCTTTTTCTTCTTCAATTTCGCTAATTATTTTTAAAAAAAGAATGTTAGCAAATTCGCTAAATCTTTCATCGCCCTTTCGTAACCCTATCTTTCATAACAATTTATTTGCTTCGGCAAAAACTTTGATTAGTTCTTGACGAGATAAAATAACTTTGTTTTCTTTGGTAATTAAGTGTGGTTGTTCAATGAATCTTAAAGCCTCTTTTTCAGTAAAGAAATCTTTTACCTCTTCTCCATTACGAGTTAAGGTTTTCTTAAAATTAATATGGTAAACCTTAGTAAACTCGCCATTAGTAGCAATAACCAAAGGTGCTTCAATATTTTTAGCGTAGTTAACTCCTTGCTCTAAGGCTTGGTAAATGTCTTCAGTTGGTTTCTTTGCCTCAATAACAATTAAAGGATTAGTGGTTCCTGATTGGTAGAGAATATAATCAGCCCGTTTACCTTTTAATTTTTTCTTCTGTTCTTCGGTGGCAGGTTGTTGTTTATAAACATTTCTTTTATCGCTATGAATATCTTCAATTCAGCCTAATCCTCTTAATTTGGTTTCAATAAATGTTTCAATATCTCTTTCATTAAAGGTGGTTCTCATGTTTTTTATGCTTTATTTAGGAGAGATTTTGCTGTTAAATTGTTAATAATTAGTCATTTTTGAGCATTTACCATAATGAATTATTTTAAGTGTTTACTAAAAAAGATGTGTGTAAATTGTGTAAAAATAATTATTATGAATAGGTGCAAAAAGTATAAGTGAGGCAAAGAAACTTTAACTTGCTTATCTGGTAATCTTACTTCTCATTCTAGTTTCTGTGAAAATGAAAGGAAGTTTAATAAAAGGCATAAAGATAAAAAGATTGTTTGAGATGAAAGATTACAAAAGTGGTTGATGGTAGAAAAATAGTTTGTTTAGACTGACATTAATTTTTTGTAGAGTAATAATCCCATTTTATATTGTGACTGAAACTTATGGAGTTAGTCTTGAAGAGGATGTATACGGAACGCAAATAGACCAAATTTATGTTTTAAGAAAGCAAATTAGAGATAAAGAAACGGAACAATTAAACCCAATTGATCCAAAAGTAATCGAATGTTTATGAAATGATGTTAAAAACTTTTTGGATAAAAAAGAGATTTGAAGTGACAATGAAAATTTTATAAAAACAAAAGGAAAATTACTGAATAAAAAACAATAATCAAACACTACAACAATACTTATCGCAGATTAGCCTGAATGGTTAATATAATATATCTACACTTGAAACAAAAAGTATCTCAACTAGAAAAGAAAGTCAATAAAATAATTTCATACTAACAAAACAAAAAATAAATTCTTAATTAGTGCAACATCCTCCTATAGTCCCAATTTAACTTATGTCTATAATGTCAAGTAATTTAAAAATATTTGCCCTCGGGGGCTTACACGAAGTGGGAAAAAACTGCTATGTTTTGGAAAAAAATGAGGATATAATTATTGTTGATTGTGGAATTAAGTTTCTGAATGGCAGTAATTTGGCCGATGGCACTGTTCCTAATTTTACTTATCTCCTAGAGAATCAAAAAAAAATAAAAGGTCTATTTATTACTCACGGACACGAGGATCATATTGGTGGCATACCTTATTTATTACAATTAATTCCTAATATTCCCATTTATGGTTCGGAATTTTCCGCTTCCTTAATCAAACAAAAATTACGGGGAGAAGGAAAAGAAAAGGT